GGTGGAAAGGGGACAGGGACGGGGCAGGGAACAAGAGTCGATATTACGGTCCTCGAGCTCGGTTGCCCGCGCAAAAGTTCGTTCGACGGTTTAACGGTGGCATTTCGCGGTAACTCGAGAACCCATTGTCGAATCTTCGTTGCATATCGGCGGGATCGATCGATCCGTCCATCCCATCGAAAACGGGAATACCTTTTCAAGGGCCCTATCCCCTCCTATCCCCTCTGTTTCGCGTTTATTCCTCGCTTGGAGAACGGATAGAAAATTTATTCTTTTTTTTTACTCGGGTTTTCGATTCGAATTTTCTTAAGGAGAATATATTTTTATAAACGAAGAATTGGAAAAGTTTGATCAAAAAGTTGATTTTTTGAATTTAATTTTGGTCGATTTATTCTAATATCGAGGTATTTACGCGGAATGATCGAAATCGTGAATAATCGGAATCGCGTTATGGAGGTTTCGTTTTTTCGAGAGAATCAAATTTGAAAATTTATGAAGTGGAATTTGGCTAATTCCCAATATACGGATTGGGATAATGGCTTATCGAATTGGAACGACCGGTGAATAATAGACAATTAATTGGATACGTGCAATTGAGAAGAATCGTATTCTACGTGTAAGTAGAATAATCAACGATTGATCGGGCACCTTTTATTCTATTCGTTCTTTACGCGCATTCGATCATCTATCGAACAAGCGCGCGACTATAATTGACCATTCGTTCCGCGAACAGATTTTCCAAAACTCGTGGAAATCGTTTAAAAATAACACAACAGGCTCGCAAGCGACGAAAAATCCCTGAAATTCGGATTCGACAACTAGCTCTATCGGTCGCGAATATTCCATACATTTGTATGGACAAAGAAAGCTGGATGGACAAGCACGAGCCGCCACAACCGTTACAAATATTGCGTTTGACACGCGCGTAATCGAATTTTTCCGTTCGATGGCCATTCTCGAAACGGATTGATCAACCGTTCCAGAGATGTATATTCCAAAGTATCTTTGCAAAGGTCTCCATTGCTTATATATATATATAAATATTGACGAATCTTTAAACTCTCGATCATTTCGCCTTTTGATGTCCGATCTCGATCGTGAATTAAATTATGGAGCACACGCAAGTGTTCAACTCGACTAAAGTAATCCGTGTAAAGAATTTCCTTCCAACTCTCTCTCTCTCGATCGAGCCACTCGGTCAGCGACGCTATTATGATATTTTCTAAGGAGCGGTCGGTCTAATTTCCCCTCCCCCTCCCCAAAGGTTCTTTTCCATCCACCGAAGTCTACTTTAATTTCTTTCATCGCTTTGTTTCTCTTTCATAAACGCGGATTATGAGCGGGGAGGGGGAGGGAAACGCTTTTGTCTACCCTCACTTCTCGGTACATATTTACCCGTGGCGGCGGGTCGACTTCGAATATAATTGCGATCTTGGGGGATGGCGGTTGTAAAAAGAGAGAGAGAGAGAGAGAGAGAGAGAGAGAGAAGGAAGGGAAGAAGGAGCTCGCAGTCGAATTTCCGGGGGATGAAAATAATCCTCGAGTGTCCCGGCGGGGGCACCCTCGGTAAATTCCTCGATTCATCGAATTCGCAGGAGGACTCACCCCCCTTCGATCGGAACCTCTCCCTTTCCTTCGATGCCAGCCTCGTTTCCTGAGATGCTACGAGAAGGAATTGGAAGGAGTAAGAAGAAGAGGTAGACGGAGAAAGGATCCGATTCGACGATTGGTTAAGATTCTTCCACTGTTTGATCTCGCGGAAAGGAAAGGAATTGTCGAACGAACGAGGGAAAAATATTTAAGGACGCGGCTCGATAAATTTCTTTATTTCAACCAAGCTTGGAAAATTGGATTTTATTCGAAATAAAGATCCGCCGCTTATCGAAATGTAAAGCTCGATCGATCACCCCCTCTCCTCCA